ATTTGAATTGTTTGAAGTTATATTTGAATTGAAGTTGAATTGTTTGAACTTGAATTGTTTGAATTATTTGAATTTGAATTGAATTTGAATTGTTTTAAGTTATATTTGGATTGTTTGAATTGTTTGAATTTGAACTGAAGTTGAATTTGAATTGTTTGAAGTTGAATTTGAATTGTTTGAAGTTGAATTTGAATTGTTTGAATTATTTGAATTTGAATTATTTCAATTTGAATTATTTCAATTTGAATTATTTGAATTTGAATTATTTGAATTTGAATTGTTTGAATTTGAATTATTTCAATTTGAATTATTTGAATTTGAATTATTTCAATTTGAATTATTTGAATTTGAATTGTTTCAATTTGAATTATTTGAATTTGAATTGTTTGAAGTTGAATTGCTTGCAGTTGAATTTGAACTTGAATTTTAAGTATTTGAAATTGAATTTGAATTATTTGAGGTTAAATTTGAAATGTTTGAACTTGAATTTGAATTTGAATTATTTGAAGTTGAATTTGAATTGTTTGAACTTGAGTTATTTGAAGTTAACTTTGAATTATTTGAACTTGAATTTGAATTTGAATTGTTTGAACTTGAACTTGAATTTGAATTGTTTGAATTTGAATTGTTTGAATTTGAATTGCTTGAATTCGAATTCGAATTATTTGAAGTTAAATTTGAGTTATTTGTACTTGAACTTGAATTTAAATTTGATTTATTTGAACTTGAATTTGAATTCTTCGAATTTGAATTTGAATTATTTGAATTGTTTGAACTTGAATTTGAATTATTTGAACTTGAATTGCTTGAATTTGAATTTGAATTATTTGAATTTGAATTATTTGAATTTGAATTATTTGAATTTGAACATGAACATGAACCACCCTGAACAAGCGAACAGCAAATTAAAGAATAAAACAAGCAAACAAACCAAACAAAAAAAATAACAAATAAAATAAATAAATAAAACAAGAAAAAAATAAACGACTAAAACAAACAAACAAAAACCAAGCCAAACAAACAAGCAAACAAGCAAACAAAGCAAATAACCCATCAAAACGCGCCAAACAAACAGACAAAAACAAACAAATAATAAACAAACAATAAACAAACAAATAAACAAATAAATAAACAAATAAATAAACAAACAAATAAACAAACAAATAACAAAAAGCAAACATTTGTGCCTTTTGCTGCAGCGCTGATGGGGCAGTACATCGAGTTCGTGGCGGACCGGCTGCTGCAGTGCCTGGGGGCGGCGAAGCACTTCGGCGCAGCAAATCCTTTTCCGTTTATGGAATTAATTTCTTTGCAAGGAAAAACGAACTTCTTCGAGAAGAGAGTGGGGGACTACCAGAAGGCGGGCGTGATGGTGCAGGACAAGCAGCAGCAGAGCTTCGCGCTCGACGCCGACTTCTAGCAGCAGCAGCAGCAGCAGCAGCAGCAGCAGCAGCACGT